TAATTTTAAAAAACAAAATCTAATTTTTAATTTTAAAAAACAACATTTTTTAAACTTTAAAAAAACCCATCACCAATTACCTCCCCCTGGGGGAGGGCCTTCTCTGTTGCAGCTCCGGCCCTCTGGAACGATCTCCCCGTTGAGATCCGGACCCTTACTACCCTTCCGGCCTTCCGTAAAGCAACTATGACCTGGCTTTTCTGGCAGGCCTGGGGCTGTTGAATTATCCAGCCCCACTTTAAGTTATGAATGTTGCTATAATTTTAAATTGTTCTATTATTTTTTATATTTCCCCTCCCTTTTTATTGTAAGCCGCCCTGAGTCTTCCGAGAGTGGGCGGCATACAAAACTAATAAATTAATAATAATAATAACAACAACAACAACAACAACAACATGTAGAACATATAGTACTTAAGTACATGCACATATGTTGCTCAATAATAGTTCAACCCTTTGTTCAGCCACTGCTCCAGCTAAAAGCCTAATGAAAAGCTGTTCCAAGATTTGATCAAAGAATTGTGCCTTGGGTGCAAAATACCGTGTAGTTTATGGTGATTGTTTCCCATTTCTATGGCTGAGAACCACAGGCATAGAAGGAAGATTTTTACTGAATGTCAAAAACAAGTCTAGAGCATTATCACAAAAGAACAGTTAAACCTTAGTTTATTATTTAACTTCACCATCCCCTTTTGAGTTTTAATAATAGACTTCACTCCTAACACAGTTTTTGCTTTTCAAATGTAACTTCCATCTTAGCCCCTGCTGTGAAAACTATTCATTTCTCTCAGCTCTCTACAAAATCTGTTTCCAAGTGCATACAATTAGCACTTTTGAACTTTACCCGCCTTCTCGTTCTGAGTTCTGAAAGTTATCATTTGCTGCAATGTTTTCCTGCTGTTTTATTGCTTGTGTTCCCTGTCACTATTTCCTAGAGCTTTTTTTTTGTTATGGTTACTGAAGTTTTATAGGACTCCTAAATAACTATTAATCATGACAGGTGCTTTTGTTAAAAGGATAATAACATTGTCGGGCCATCCTGATGCAAGTTCTGTCCCTTTCATATGTACTTGTGATGTCACGATGTACATGTAAATGGGTTGGTGCTTGCATTAAGGTAGTTTTGAGCATTTGTTCCCTCTGATCCCCTTTGATTAGTGGTATTATTAAAAGTATGCATGCACACATGTATACGCCAACAACCTCTGAATAGTGGTATTATTAAAGTATGCATGCATACATGTATATGCACCAGTGGTGGGTTTCAAAATTTTTTAGAACCTCTTCTGTAGGTGTGGCCTGCTTTGTGGGAGTGGCTTTCCAGCCATGTGACCAGGTGGGAGTGGCTTGCCAGCCATGTGACTGGGTGGGAGTGGCTTGCCAGCCATGTGATTGGGTGGGAGTGGCTTACCAACTGTGTGACTGGGTGGGTGTGGCCAACTTGTAAAATGTGATGACACTCACTTAACAATGCTCTTGCTTAGCAGCCAAAATGTTGGTTCAGAAACTCTGGCATTTGAAGCACGCAAGTCTTAAAGCTGTCAAGTTACAAGACCCTTGCAACCCTAACCTTTAGAACCCCCCCCCCGGGGTGTTCAAATTTGACAGCTTTAAGACTTGTGGACTTCAACTCCCAGAATTCCCCCACTCGCTCTTTATCTTGATGATGTGCAGATGGGCGGGGGGAGGGAGCTGGAACCAGTTCTAAATGGCATGGTAGATTTGTGGAACCTCTTCTATAGAAGAGGTTAGAACTGGCACGAACCCACCCCTGATATGCACTGACATTAATGTATGAATCAGAACATCCTGGGATTGCATGTATGTTGCAAAGGGATGCAGGAAAATCTGTACTCCTTAGAAGAGTATGTGTCTCAAAGATAGAAGAGACTATAAACTCTAGAAAACTCAATTTCTGCCTAGATCACAAATAACTATACATTAGGTCAAAACTGAATAATTCTTCCCTTAATGAATTGGATAGTTGCTTGAATAGAAGCCGTTGTTGTAATTGCCAAATTTGCACCACATAACACCATCAGTCCTTATGTTTCGTCTATTTAATGAGATTGTTTTCACATATGTTCCACTGTATTGGACACTTACTTTCTTATAAAAAGCACCTGTTCCACATCCCAGAAGTATAAAGCAATGATGGTCTGCTAAAATTGCATCCCTTCATTGTGTTCTGTCTATATATGAAATTAATTGTTGGTTTGCTCTTATGTTTGTATGCCAGCCCATGACATTTTTCATGTGCTTATTCGGACATCATAAAATAGGGAAGCCCTGTACTAACTTCTAATTATCAGCCCCAAGTCTTTTATTAGCTTTCTGTTTAATTACAGCTATGGGAAGATTGCAAGGCAATGAAACTATAGAAAGCTTTGCTTAATAAATATATGTCCTTGCTTCATTATGATCTCTGTTTTGCTGTGATTCAGGATGTTAATAAATATTCTATTAGGTTAAAGAAGAAGCATGATCTTGTTTAAAAAACACCTTGTATTTTTTGTAAACACAGATCACCACATGTTACAGATCTGAACTCCAGATTCTTTCCAAGAATTAAGATAGTTGCAGAGGTGGTATTCACTTACCTTCCCTATCAGTTCTCAAATGAGAGTGCATATGCCACCTCCGTGCATGTGCTCAGCCTTCCGTACATGTGCTTTTACTTAAAAAGGGCCTAAATGGGATGCCATACAGCCGGGGTGGGTAAAATACCACCTCTCCATAGTTGCACTTATTGACAAGTGAAAATCCATGAGTTGAAAAGGTAAGTTGTCTCTGCCAAACAATTCTGCATGGATATTTGCCTCAATGGGTATCCATTCTTGGGATCTAAGTGGCAATCTTTATTCAAAGTGACAGTAATAAATGAAAACAATCCTATTGAATAGTATTCAAATGCAAAACATTCACATAATAAAATTAAAAGTAATGACCAGACCCTAACTCAACAGCTGAGTATCTCTAAGCAGACAAGGAAGAAGGATTCTGGCAATGCCCAAGAATTGTAGGAAGGCAACACAAGGCAAAGTTAGAAGTTATCTTGGGAAATACTGACTTCCACTCTGCAATTGGTATAATATTTGAGAAATAGAGAAAAGCAAGTATCAATCAAAAGGAAGTTCCTCTTGTTCCTGACAGCTTTCTCCCTGACCACTTTTCTTCTGTAAAAGTAAACTTAAAATGCCCAGAAGCAATTGAATGGGAGAACCAATCAGTAGAGGAACAGAAAAAAGAGCCATTTTTCCTTTGAATTGTTGCGGCCCTGCATGTCCATTTACTTAACATGCAACCTACTTAACATATTTAGTGTTCTGGGAGGTCTACTGACAATGTTACACCACATGAGCTAGTTTTGCACTCACGAGTCAGCATGAACTATTAAAAATTGATATATGCATATGGTGCATGCAACTTACCAGGGTAGCAAAAAGATGATATAAAATAAAGTAAATAGCAACAACTGGTGCCCACATGTGACCCACAGCATTGAGAGTCTGATCCATGACATCCACCCATCCTTCCTGTGTCAGAATTTGAAACATTGACATGAAAGCCTAAATCAAAACATAAACAAGCAAGCCAGTTAGATATCTTTTATTGAAATAAGCAAATACTGTAAGCTTCTTAATAGCACCAGGCTTTTGATTGTAAGGACAATCTGGTTAATAATAAGATACACTGCTCTGATGCTATTATTGGTAGAAACTGCATGCTTTTGTTTATTAGCAGGAGTTCCTAATATCTTCCAAAACATCATATCTTTACCATGTTTTTTAATCCAAACCACATTATAGCAATAAACCTTTGTAAAATCCAAGGAGCACCACTGAATTTCAGAAGTACAGTTGTAAAAGCACAGTTTAGTGCCATTCCTAAAGGTATCTATAGCTAGCAGACTATATTTTCACCACCAGGTTCCATGCACTATTTCTCAGATAGGGAAAAAAGTTCTCCAGTTTCTATTCTGAAATTTATAGCTTCTAATATGTCACAGGTACTATATCCAAATGATCATAAAACCTCAATTCAGATGTTATACACTAAGTCTGAACTCAAATCTGCATCAGCATTTGAATGCAGATCATAATGTGATTCATGGTCAAACCAACATATATTAGTCTAAACTCTTCTACAGATATGAATATATCACATAGTAAAACAGAGAAAAGAAGACAAATATTGTTTACATTATTTCTTGGTAGTAACTATTTGGTTCTGGTATTAGCTGCTTTTATTTTTGAACTTTTAAAAAAAAGTATCATCTTTTTGTCTAAGAAAATCAAAACCACCATTTATAATATGATTCATTCTAACAGTGTCCCAAGATGTTTCCTGTAAGTGACAACCTCTGCATTGGAAAAACATTAGTTTTAAGATAATATGGCTGTATACAGTGATTTTAACTTTGGAAAGTAGCAATCTTTCTTTCAGAGCAAGATATTTTTAGTTGAAAGATATACTTCCCACCAGTTATGCTAAAAGGAATCAGAAATGTAGCTATCTTGCTGTCAGAACAACTAACAGCTGTGAATATGAGACCCGGAGATTTATGCAAATAGAGGTTTTTTTAAAAAAAATTAAATTGTGTGTGTACTGTATATGTGTGTGAAGAACGTTTCAGATTTATTCTAATTATTTTTAAGTTTAGTTAATGCTACTCATCATGGTGATTCAGCAGCGACTTTTTCACTTTTAGCTGCAATGTATGACTTGTCAACTATCAGATCATGGAAAAGCTACAACAGCACATCTCATGGCCTGGTATCTTCAGATTTCCTCAGTCTTTGGACCACTGTCTGAAGAATGGGGTCAAAAAAGTCAGGATAATGGCAACAGATGTGTTATCAATTAAGTTGTTTCTTGTAATGCGTGCACAAAAGGGCTAGGGGTTTGATTATATGGTTGTGACTGCCATCTTGATTTTTTGACATTCCTCTTTGATCACATCGAACAGATTCAGGAAGCATTAGTATACAGGGAAGAAAAAAGGGGGAAGAAAAAGAATACATTCCCATCACATTAAACATTACACTGGTCTATGAGGAAAAAGAAGGTTAATTTTACCACAACTGTGTCACTAAGAGAATTAATTGCCGCCAATTTGCAAAATACAGCTTCAGGTAAACTGCATCAAAATAATTCAAAATTACAGAGGGGATGTGCGATTATGCTCCATAACGTTTCTGTAAAATGTGATATAGCAATGAGAATGGTGCAACATGAATCGCTATAAATTTATCTTTCTATTGATACCAATAACATAACTTTCCATTCATTTATTGGTTTTTCATGTAACATTTTTATGCTTCTCGTATGAAAAACTGGGAAGTTCTAATATCAGATTAAATGACAAGGTTCTATCTTTATTCGATATCTAAACTATGTTTTTTGGCTTTTCTCTTCTGAACGGCAATAGGATCATCCCTGGGGAGTTTCCAGCAGTAATCAGCAAGCATGGACGGACTCCATTTCCCTTGTTATCTTCTCTCCCCATGCTCATCACTCACTGCCCAACAGTTCAAAGGGAAATAGTTTAAATGTGATTGTAAGAAGTGAATTTTTAGTGACATGTTTGCACAAAATGCTTTATAGGATCTAAACAAATTTCCCACCTGTTTTTCATAGTCATCTGCCTTGCTGTTCTCAAAGTGAAGATAAATTTACAGGCTTTCATGTGGTACCATTTTCATTGTTCTTCTGTACTTTGTCAAGAAGCTATGAGGCATCATGATCATTAGACACCTCCCTCCTTTGTAGGCAAATATATTTATCTGTGTATACATCTTTATTGTGAAATATCTTGAAAAGTTTAGCAAACCAGCACCGTTATCACCTGTTTTCTAATTCATCTAATCAAAATATGTAAAATTAACACATTTTATCTCAAAGGTCAATTATTTCTCAAAATTTGTAGACCAGTCTAATCAGTCTCATTTTTTGAATCTAAAGCACTATCGGAAGTTTCAATCCTGGATCCTGCACTTTTTAATAACATTTTATAATTTTCATGGATTTCCTGATATTCTTGGTCTCTGTGGTCTATTTGTATGTTTGGTATATATTTCACACCTTTACTTTATATTTTAACCATCTCATATTTAAAACAAGGCTATTAAAAATAGCTCTTTTAAAATACATTACTTTCGTTTTCTAAAACAAAATGCTTCTGGGAAAAGAAATCTCATTTTTTTAGGTTCCCCCCATTTTAGAGGAGGCTTAACATCTTTGAGTGTGATATTAATCAGAATATTAATCTCTATTTCCTGAAGTAATTATGCCTCATAAAAAAATTCTTCCCCAACACAAAAAGCACAATGCACAAAAATACTAAGTTTCTAAGACAGTTTAAAAATGCAAGGCATGTTCCACATTTTTAGTTAAACCATAATTTCAACAATTAAAAAACAAGGAAAAAAGGAAAAGAAGTAATACTACTCATCACAAAATTGGATCTTAAAAGCCTGAAACATTCACCGGAAAACAAAATATAACAGATCTTGCAATCTGAGAAAAATGAACTAGAGAATGCTGTAGATGGTAGCCATGGCAACCATAAGCTTCTATTTATGTCGTGTTTGTCAAGATGCCATGTGAAAGCATGGAATTTAGAGGCATTAGGAAATAAAAGTGGTCTGCCTTTTCTCTTTTTCTCTTAAAAACATATAATGTTCCTGCATTGTACGTCAGCAACATTAATGGATGTGATAATCAATTGTTCTTTCTGCTAAGTCTTTTGGCATCTAGAGCAAAAGATTCCATGTCAGAACAGGCCGACCATTTTAAGTTTGCTTTTACTTAGAGGGGAATGGTACTGTGCCCAGCTAAAATGCTTGTCTTCCTCTTCCCTTTCACCCAGGAACCCAAAACATTTGTCCATAATGAGTGTTTAGATATGCAAAGTCTTCTGCTGCCATTGTTCTGATATGTCAAAGTCCCATAGGAACTTTTATTATTTGATTTAATATGGCTACCCATTCCAGAAGACTTTCACCATTCCAGGTGGCAATTTTCTATCTTTGCATTGCTGTGTTTCTCAACCTGGGTAATTTTAAGATGTGTGGACTTCAACTTGCTGAATTCCCCAGCCAGAAAAATCTGGAAAACCATTTTCAATGTAAACCTGAGTTCTATTCTCACATTTATGGAACATAAATCGGCAGGATTCCACTTCTTCATTCACCTAGAATCTAGATTTCTTTTAAAATACATACATTTCTCTTTAACTGTACATATAACAAAAGTGTTTTTTAAAATTAAAATAAATGGCTGCATTAAAAACCAATCATAAAAGAATTCCCAGCAGCTTTTTGGAAAAGTAGGGAAAGGCAGAAGGCATAGTATTGGCATTAGAATAAAGAGCTAACCTGGAGGATATTAACAAAACACCACCATTTTAAAGTAATGATGGGACATATCATTTCTAAATTATCATTTCATATTTTGTTTTTAGTATCCTGCTGGGAAAAAAAGCAAAGTTCTGCCACATCTCATTGTTATTATGTTAATTTTCTATTCATTAGATGGTTTAAATATAATCCTCCTTATTCTGCAAACAGGGAAGGTGTGAATTAGATTAAAAAAACAAACAAAAGCTATACTCTAGGACATTTGCTAATCTTCTGCTGAAATAGAAGTAAGGAAATAAATTCCCATGTGACAATTTTCCAAGCTAAAAGAGACATTAAAAAGTAAGGGACTTAAAGTAAGTAGGCAAATCTAATCAGTAGGCGTTTGTGACCTACAATGTTAGCCTCAAAAGCCTCAAAAGTTTATTTTACCTTTCACATATGTAATGTATGACAGGTCAATTGGGTTGCAAAGAGATGCACAAGCTTATAAATTCTGGACTTGTTTTGCAAGGGGAGAAGCTATTCTTGCAATAGATTTTTCAGTGCTCAACTAGGGGAGATAATATATGTTTTTGTCTTTTGTGTTTTTTAAATTCACATTTTTTTCAATGTTTTTATTTAATTTTGTTCTGTTTCTATTCAATTCTTTTCTTTTGGATTTTGGTTCTTAATCTTTTGAATAAAATAAAATAATAAAATAAAATATAAACAGTTACTCCACCCCTCAAATGTGATTTAAAAGTCTAAAGAATTTCCCAATCTATATATCAAGATTAGGGACAATTCTTCAATGACAAAATTGTATTCACTTGGTTTATATCTTTAGGGAAAAAATTCTGCATTTTTTCTGCAGTTAATTATTTTGAAATTTTTATTTGGAAGTTTCTTTACATAAGACCTTTCCTTCTATCCATATTTACCTAGTAATTTGACATGTACATTGATTTTAGTTTAATAAAGATGGAGAATTTGTTGAAAACAATTGTACTTTTCAGTCTAGAAGTGATAATTTTCTCAGAGCAACAAAAGGGCAAACTTGCATTTTCAGGTTCAATTATACCGATATATTAGTTTTTAAATTGGAAAAGAAACTTTCCTTTATTCAGATTTGTAGGAATGATATATTTTGCCTATCTTTCTGTTCTAATTAAAAATAGATAGTGCCATAATCTATAGTGTTCTGATGCTGCTCTTTTTGCGTGATAGTGGAGGGTTACTGTTGAAACTAACAATTCAGGCAGCGTGATCTTGCAACAAAATGTATTCTTACAGAAGCCAAGGAACTGGCATTGATAAGATTGTAGTATAAAGCCATTTCTAAACAGCCATAATTTGATTGGTTGCAATGGAATTTTTAACTTACTCTTGGAAATGTGGTAAATCTGTCCAGTTCTTCCACGAAACAGAACATTTGCAAACTGATGGCTGACATTACAATTAATAGACTGGCAGTAAATACAACTAAACTCCCAAGCTTTTTTCCAGGTCCAAAAATCTTGTACACAAAATCTTCCAGGGCAGGAGAAATCTTGATAAGTCGAACAACTCTAAGTACCTGCAGATAGAAATATTTTTTTTAAATTGATATAGCTGCAAGTTTTCAAGTGAAACAAATTGGTTCTTTTTCTAGTAACACCTATGGCATATATACCTTGAAAATTATACAATAGATGGAATGGTTACTACAATGATAGGGATGAGTAAAACATTCAAAAGAAGTGCAAAGCATTAAGAAACTCTGCCCTTTGAAAGGTCTGCTCAGCTGATTTGAAACACCCTTGGCACTATGTACATGTCTTTTTCTGCTGTGCTGTTTCACTTCACTGGAATTCTTGAGAGTGACAACTGGACTTTGAAATAATTTTATGATGCTTCCAAAGATTGTGGCCGCTTTAATGCTTGGGGATACTATTAGGCTTTCCAAATCACCTAATTTAAACTCTTTCCTAAGTCATGATATGCATCCATTAAATGTATTATTTTATATAATTTCAAGATGATGGCCAAACTTTCAGCATTTCCATATTCATAAAACTGAAATTTATGGTGAATTATAGTTCATTTCTCTTCTTTCTGTCAGGCTTTTCTTTTGGATCTTTGGCCTGCCACACTTTCTATTATTCTACTATGCATTTTATATTGTGAGAAAATGGGAGGGGGGATTGTAAGGAGTTACATACTATGTAGCCATAACAAAATTCTTTCTAGAAAGCCAAGGCCATCCTTTGTCTCTGCACCTCTGCGCCTGACCAGAATTGGATGGGTAGGACTGCCAGCATGGCAGTGAGAGATTGGACCATGTGATGGACTTATGGGTGTGGGGGCAAGATCTTGAACTTTCAACTGGATGGGGGAAACCGGGAAGCTTTCAGATTCGGGTTTTCCCAGATGT